GGGGCTCTGTCGGCGGGAGGGGCTCTCTGAGGATGGGTTGTTGATGTGAGGGTCTCTGTGGGGAGAGGTCTTTGGTGGGGGGGRCTCTGTGAGGAGGGGGCAGCCGGCCGTGAGGGGTTGTGTGAGGAGGAACCMTTGGTGAGAGGGGCACTTGGTGTGAGGAAAGAGTAACCAGCTGTGAGGGGTTTTGTGAGGTTAGGTTTTGGCTTGAGGACACAGGTGAGGGGTAATTAGGCTGAGGGATAGGAGAACTGGAGGGAGCTGGTGTGTGGGGCTGCTGAGGGGAGTTTAGGAAAGAAGGTTTCTGGGAGCCTCATGGGAAGATCATGGGGAAAGGGGCCTGAGGGAGAAGATGATGGAGGGCTGCTGCTGAGGCCGTGCAAGCTCAACCAGCATGCCTGAGGGGTGGTGGTGGGGGGAGCAGAGGGACGGTGGGGCTCAGTAATGGGGTACATAGGGCCTGGACATGTGTAGGGAGATAAGATATAGGAGAAAGGCTTGGTGCAGGTGGGAATTTCTTGGGGGTAGGTGTGGTGGGGGACAGTGGGTTTGGGGCAGGCTGGCTGGATGTGGACATTGAGCCAAGGGGAGCTGCCTCTTTGGCTGGGAGCAGCTCAGGTACAGGCAGTGACAGTCCCAGAAGATGGTAGGTGTCTTCTGTAGTGGGACTGCCCTCACTTAATAGATGCATTTCAACCTGCCCTTGGCCAAGCTATATCTGGGTTGTGTCCAGAAGAAGGAAAAAAAAAATCTCATGGTCTTAGCACATGGTCTGGTAAACTGTACTCTTGGCTCTCAGTGGTGGGTGTTGAACTTGGTAGGTTGTTGAGCCTTTGTGTGCTTTGGTATCTCCATCTAMGGAGCAGAGATAACAGTTGGTTTCATGCAGGGATTAATTATCGCATCTTGTAGTCACGTATTTGTTTATTTGTTTTTACTATAGATTACAGCTGGAGGAATTCTAAACAGTCCACTTCTCCTTGTCATGGTGTTTGAGCGCATTGTGCTCCTGTCTGAACAGAGGAAATCACTGAGGTCAGTCTCCCTTGTGTTTATAGTTGCTTTCCCTTTCAGAAGTATAGGGGCAARGAATCATCAAAATAACAATTTGTACTGACATCCTGATAATAAATGAATAGAAACAGTTACATAAGACACAAAGTTTGTCAAAGGTGTGTTTGTAGGGATGGCTTCCGCTTTTGACTTAGGAATTATACTGAAGGGACAGTGTGCTCTGTTATAAAGTACCCTGCAAATATTCAGTTTTGAGATGTCCCCAACATGAAATAATACAATTCTGTAAATTCAATATTACTTCTAGTGCTGAAATAAAACAGGCGAAACAAATTTCTTTCCTATTTTCCCCATAATCTAACAGATACTTTGTATCATAAGAAGGCTTTGTATCCAGCCACTGTTGAGGTGATGCTGGATACGATTTAGGTAAATTTTGCATTTACCTTTGGACAGTTATGKGGTACCGTTTAACCTGGGATTGGGGGAAATCTGAGAAACATTGTTGACTCTAACAATTGTGAACCACGTCTAGAATTTTGTGAACTTGTCACAAGGTGGTCTGATACTTCGTCTTTTCAAATCCCAATAGGAAAAGTGAGACAAATGTGGATCACTTCAAACATATGTTGTTGTGGGTATTGGGAGAGGCAAACTAAAGGTTTATCTGATTATCTCAACCTTGAAGTTGGCAGCTATGACAGGAAACTTGGTTTCATTCATCTGCCAAAGATATTTGTAGTGTATCATTTGACAAGTTAAAAGGCATTTTTGTAATGACACAAAAATAAAACCATCCGCTTTCTGAAACTACTGTTTCTGTCTTCTGAAATAATATGGGTTTGGAGACATGCTTCTGGGGAAATTAAGGGCATGCTTGAAAAGTAAACATTTGTGTTTTCAAATTTTAGAAGAATGGTGTTTAATGTGAATMTGCTCAGCATGGCCTATTGATACTAATTTGGTTTTGTACTTGTATTGTCAAATTAGTGGGTATCATTTGCTTCCTGAGATGGGAGAACAAAATGGAGCAGTAAGAGAGGGAGTGATCTGCCCACGGGGTCAAAAGGTAGAATTGAGAATTAGGTTCTTCTGAATCTTGATCTTGTACTTCTTTCTGCAGACAAATTGCCTGTAAAGCTCATGAATTATGAGAGTTAGTGAGGTCCATGGAGCTAACCCAGCAAATGCCAGCAGAGTCTGGGCCTCAGCTCTTTGTGTTACACACTAAAAGATAATGAGAGGTCTAGGTAAAACTSCTTGGAGTCTCTAACAGTGGCTGCAGAAAAATGTGAATAATGCTTTACCATTAACTATGAAGTATTTTACTTGAAATGCTAGATCTGCATTTGAAATGTATTCAGTGACTGCTTCAAAAATACACCCTATAATCTGTGAACAGATAGTTTAGAAAACGTTCACTGAAATTGTGAAGGAACAGCCAGTATGAAAATTATGTTTATTGTCACTAGCTGAACTAAATAGCACATTTAGCTTTCCCCGTTCATTTCATTAGGAGTGTTCTTGTTGCTTTCTCAGAAGACCATAGAAGGCATCTAGAAAGTTAGTTCAGCTTCATCTGCTAATTTCCTGATGCAAATTTAATCCATTTAAAGAAAAACTAAACAGGTTTATGTGTGTCTGCATCTGGGATTTGCACCRGTCTATCTGTCAGATAGCCATAACCAAAATTAATTCTGTCTGAAGGAGGTGCCAGAACATCAATAAATAAATATTGCGAATTGCCTAGCGGTTCAGCTGACAGGCAGAACTGGTTTCAACACATTGCTCCCAATGTGCCGCTACAGAGCTGGTCCTGGAGTAGACCCATAAGACATTCCAGCATGGACAGGACCTTTAAGAGCATGCACCAGCCTTCCATGATATTGTAGAAGAGGAAGTAGAGAACAATACCATGTCCAACGGAAACTGTGGCAAGAATTTATTCAAGGCATGTTGTAATTCTCAAGCTGGGAGTTTGGCCAGGACAGTGGGGTTAACACCCCTACTCCTTTAGAGGTGTCATAGTTTATTTTTTTTAATGACTTTAAGTGATGAGAAGCTTGGCTTTCTGTCTCAGCAGAATGATACCAGATCAAGCAGCATAAACTTCTTATGGCAACATGAAGGTGCTGGTTCAGAACTCAGAGCAGTGATGAGGCCTAGTACAGTAATCATTGCTTTATAAATACTTGCAGTAGATAAGAAAGATAAGAGTGTGATTAGGGCACAGTTTCAGCTGCTGTAATTACAGTCATGCCTTCCTCAGCTTTCAGTCCACATGCTGCTTGAATCTGGCCATTTTTAAGYAAACAATTGTAAATTTTAGAAGAAAGCATAGAACTTGAAGCAGAGAAATCTGGTTATTAATTATATAGCAATTGTGAACAGCAGTTATCAATGCTTTTTCTTAGGAAATTTGTCATCATACAAGCAGAGTATAATTTAGCCAACGTAATTCTTTCATGCCATTGAGATTTTTTAGAAAGCGTTCTTTGTATGTATGTTGTACMGATTTAGAACTTAACTTTCAGCTTGTTCTCTGTTTGCAGAGAAGATAAGCACTTGAGTGTTTTAGTGAGTGACTAGTTGTGCAATGCACAAATGAGGAATTGTTTTGACTTTACTAGCACATGAAACCTGCCATCATTCCTATAGTGCAGTTTGGGCCATTATTATGGGTTATGAGGTTATACAGGAAAAACATGTTCTAGAGAAAGGCTGGTCAAAATAAACGAGGTAGAGTCTTACAGATTATAACAATCTGGTTTTGTATCAATGATGCAGATGCTTGGGTAAGTCCACTGGGGATGAAGATACCATGTCAGACAGCGTCCCTCTGACAGTTCATGTCGTAAGGACAAAAATGAAGCAATACTGACATTATTACGTAACTGCTTTTATATTCTATGACAACAATAATAATACTTCACTCTTCTTTTAGCTTTTATTAGATAAACACCTTCCTTACTGTKCACTTCTGATTGTCCCATGAGTTGAGTGGTTTTAGCTATTAAGAAATGGGGAAATGGTGGCACAAGAAGAAGTACTTGCCAAGGTAAATGGGAAATCAGTGTCAGAGACATAAACAGAATCTGTCCCCCTCTGCCCTCTGGGAAACCAGACAAAAGTGGAAAAGTGGCTTGCAGTGTGACTCAACAGCTTTTCCTTCCTCAGCCACTGCCATGCTGGGCAATTACAAATAAATGCCAGTAGGTCATTTCCACCTGAGTCGAACAGGTTTCCAAGGGACTCTAGGTAGGATGTCTTCTGCTGGTGAGGATTCTTCAATGGGTCTTTGCAATAGTTTTGCTTTGAAATCTTGTCAGAATTTCAGAACTAACTGKTTTTTTAGTCCATGACAACTGACTGTAAGGAGAGCCTTACAGTTGAGGTATCTCAGATTTTTTCCCAACAGCAGAAGGAAGGGGGTTTTACTCTGACATTGGTTCAGAATACCTGTAATGGGTACAAGAATCAATATTATGGAGGCCTTGATCTTGAACAGTGACTGGTGGAAAGAAGCAGCATAGGAAAGGCCTTGGCTCTGGTCCTTGGATRGATGGGTAAGAAGAGGCCTTTGGCAGAGAAGAGAGAAAGGTGACTAATAATATGAAACTGGGAGGAAACTCATTTCAGTTATGCAATCTGCTGGCTTCCCTTCTCTGAGGGAAGACACCTTTTGTTAGTTGTTCCACTGGCACTTGCTGCTCATGCTGTCTTCTGAATAGAAGTCTAAACCAATTATTTCTCTGCTTGACTTAGGAAGCTTMATTTAGCTTTGCAGCAATGAAAATACAACAGCATTTCATTTCTTTGTTCTCTGTCTGCAGGATTTCTTTTAGTTTTACTTTGCCTCTTCCCTATATTATTGGTTCTTTTCCTGGCTGTAAAGCAGTTTAGCCAAGATGAAGAAACTTCTTTTCTGCTGTTATGCACTCAGTCCCCATATCTCACTTGTTCCATGGTTTTCTATGTCCTTTTTGCCACATTGCCAAAGCTTCCATGGAGAATTTTGCTGTGGCGGTTCAAGAAGATGCTGTCGTCTGGTCTAATCCATGTCCACAGGTTTCCCTTCATAGCTGAGTCAGCAGAAGGGAGTTTGCWCTGTTCCTGACCCCGCTGGGTTTTGTTGGCCATCATAGCTCAGACCCAAACCTSACAGTGCTGTGACTACCCTGGCCTTTGTCCTAGACTGGCTAGTGCAGGGGTGTGTATTTACACCAGCTGACCATGGTACAGGGAATGTACTTCAGGAAGAGCAGTTTGCTAGAGATGATGACTGGAACTGCTGGAGCAACAGTTGGTGGAACTCTTCTGAGAGCTCCTRTATTCCATATTAGCTTGGTGACTTTTCCAGTGATCTGCAACAAACAGCTTCTCTGTTGACCCCCATCTGGATCTTCATCTCCTGTTTTATAGATTTTTAACTAAAACAACATTTTACGTTGTTGTAAACATGTGTCCAGACACTGATTTTTATAATCTGTAAAACACTTGTGAAAATGTGGCCTTGCTCTTCAGAAATTCTGCAGTCACCTATCTGAGACATTGTATTTCACCYTTGAATAAGATTCTAGACCAGAAAAAGAGTTAGACTGCATACAGATTAACAAATGTGTTGCTAGTATCTCTGGCTACTGCAGCATGAGTCACCCATCAGTGCTTGTCAGAGTCTGGCGTGACCTCATTGAAAGCTTCAACATCTCATATTTGAAGGCAGGTTGTAATCCAGTGTGGGAATCCTAAATAGGTGGGGAATTAAGTTCTGAGATTGTGAGAATGCATACATCATAAACATCCCCCTGGAAATCAATTATGCCCTCACCAGAAATATTCTTACAGATTCCTGAGGATCTCTTGATGCTAAGCCTGCCTTTCCCTGCTTTTATTAAAAAACCTACCTGTAACTATTCACTACAATAACAGAAATCAATTCTGCTAAGAAAATTTAAGAGTGGATAGAATGTGTCAGGGAGAAGATGCTCTGTTGTTTGCTAGGACAAGAAAGAGCTGATGGTTCCTTTTTATTTATCACAGCTTCTACAAACTTTTGTTCTTTTTTTTTTCCCTATGTCAGTAATGGGGCTTCTCGTACGCTGGTTGAGGGAGACAGGTAAGCAAACAGCAACAGGAGCTATAGATGAGTGAATCAGCTTGTGGTACCTTACATGTGTGCCTTAGATATGTAGTGTGGTGATGAGACAAAAAGTGGAAGTCTACAGGAGTTTAGAAATGGGAYGATTCTCTTCAGCTGGTGCTCGCTGAGTAAACATGAAGCTTGTGCTCAGTCGTTCCCATGGGTGGTCACACACTAACCATGGAGCAATGGAGCAATGCTGCTCACTCTAAACTGAGGCAGCTGCTGGCAGTTTAACTGCAGAMCCCACATCTAGAAACAGACAAGCAGAAGTTCTCATCCTCTCACCTGCTACTGAGGGAACTCTGAGTCTCTAAAAGCACAAGACTGGYATTGTACCACAGGTATCTGCTGCCATTTGAACTGAAAATTAAATCCCTGGCCGCTGGTCTGGTTGCTGTCCTTAGGATATATGAATTGTCTTGCCATAGGTAATTTCTGTATGTGGCAAAGTTGTTTGTGCCAGCCTGGCAGCTTTGTCCATAAGCAGCAACAATAGCTGTCTCTTGGTTTTCTAAACCCACTCTCCTGCAGCTCCTCACTGGTTCCACAGAGCTGCTTTGTCACAGAGTGTCAGTAACTTTGCAAAAGTCACTGAATCCTTTACTGTGCTTGGGATCAACCCCAGCATTTGTCTGAATGTAGGTATGTGCCTCCTGCAGACCTACTTTTCCTATCCAGACTMTTAACTGGTAAGTTTATTCTCTTACCCTTTGCTTTAGGTAGACTGTAGTATGATTTCTCATTTCTTATTTTTTTTTCAGTCTGGGAACCTGGATGATTATTATTTTGGGGTGGGAGAAGAGGGCAAAAATCCTCTGAGTAGATAAATTGTATGTTCTGGTCCTTCTTTAAGGAAGGTGTAGAAGGTTAGAGAATCAAGACATGCATGTGATTTGTAAGAAGAAAATAGGCAACCTTAGGCCTTTTTACCCATAATTCTTTACCACAGAGATCAGCCAGGCACTATCTGCTAAGGTACTTTGTGAGTCCATGATGAAGTAAGTTGATGGCTGTGCCCAGTTKCTAGTACTGAGGAAAGTGCACATGCACACAAAACATATCTAGTTTTTTTTAAATAATGCCTTTTATGTTTTTTTGCACAGAGACCAAGGCTAGATGATGTTTTGAGACTGMGCATACCTTTTCTGGATGATCTGAGGGATGCACATGGTGTTATAGTAGGGTGTAAGAGATGGGAGCCCTGCAGAAGTGTTGTCCATGCTGCATTCAGCTGTGGGGGTGTTGGCTTAAACAATTGATCCAGCATTTGAAGCACTATTGCTTGATTTATGTCTTGATTTTTGGTATCTTGGCAGACCTTTCTTTGAYATACCAAAGCATACCGCGGGTTTTAGTAGAATTCTGCTCTTRCATCAAGCTTAAACCTCATTGCTGCTCCCCGCCTTCAGCTGGAAACGGACAGACACCATTTGTGATTGAATATCCTGAGTCACCGATTCCCAGCTGGCATGTGCGCTGCAGTTCCATCTCTTCCTTTCCGACTGCACTCCCTAGAGGAGATTGGGAACAACTGCAGTCGTCAGCTCCAGCGTGGTTTGTGCGCTTGCTGGGATCCACACAATTGGTGGACAACCCCTGTCTACGTCTATGGGGTGAGCTGCTTGTGATTTGTTACTGTATGCCTGGTGTTTCCATACCGGAAAATAGAACAGGTGTAGGAATATTAAAAAAAAAAAAAAATCAGTTTCTTGATATATGCTAGAAAAATATCTGCATTGTGCAGATGGTGATAGGATATCTTCATTAAATAATCAGTGGAGACAAATCATGAGGCCAGTAGTGCTTTCACAATAAAATTGTGTGAAAATGGATGAAAATTAAGAATCTAAAGAGATGATTAAAGGTGAGGTAGTTACTCCCTACACTGGCAAAGTTCTGCTGTCAGGAGCATGGGTCCACCATGCAGGAACTGGCAAGTTATCTGTTCTGTCAGACACTCGTGTTCTGTGTTTGTTATCCTGCTTGTGCAGTGTCCCAAAGAAATGCTGCTTAAGCTCAGCAGGGAAATAATGCAACACGTTGCTATGTTATTTCATCTGACCAAAACATTTTCACTATGTAATGCTTGCTGCTAGTCTTGTGCATAGCTCTGGGGGAAAATGAAACACAAAACACTTCATTGAGCTTTCTGATCCAACAGGTCTTGACATATTGCTGCTGGACATGTCTCTGTGTCTGATGTGAACTGCGACAGTTCCATTCTATCCTGCTAAARTAACAGCATATTAAACAATACTATTCTGTCCATACCCTTTCCAGCTATTGACTAAAAAGTTAAATTCTTATTAAGCTAGTTTTAATTTACGTGTCATAAGATATTAGTTAATGGTCAGCTGGTTTTCCTGGCATAAAGAATGCAAAGTATATAACACAAATTAATGCTTGTYTGGGACCAAATGAGTTAAACCAGCTCATTCTGCTGAAATGTCCAGTGAAATACCATGATGCTCTGCATGTCAAATCTGTTTGCAACAGGTTACCAGTATTTGCCTGGGACAGTYCATCCTGTTAGCAGGCACTGATCCGGCTACGGAGGAGATATGTGGGTTGTGCTGACTCATGAAAGCAGGTGCAAATTGCATCAGTGAAGGAAGGAGTGGCTCACCTTAGGAGCAGGATGTAGGTTTTAGTGTAAGAACTGTCAACAAAGCACCTCAAGAAGAAAGTTGGGTTTAAAAATATGTGAAAGAGACTTTGAAATCTGACTTGATGAAATTCTGATTCTTCTTGCTTCATCAGGGGCTTGCTTCAAATGGGGTTGGTGCACAATTGTTAACACCACCGAGGTGTCTTGGGAAAACATGCACTGTAGCTGCAGACAGCAGCAGTCCTAAGGCAAGTTTTCCGGGGAAGTTTGGATGACAGCTGTTCAAAAACTTTCATACAGTTACTCTCTTATTCCTTCTTTACAGATCTGACTCATCTGTCCCTGTCCTAAACATCCTCAGTTTCCGTAATTTTTTTCTCTCCTCTCATTTACCTCATGTCTCGCATCTTTCAAGGTTCCTTTTGTATCTCTGGGCTTAATTCTATTAAATCCAGTTCCTTTGAATTCTACTTTGCTTGTGCTTTGCACCTGCTACAGAGCCCCAGCAAATTTGGCAGCTAAGCCATGGGCACTCCAGAGAAAACAACTGTCTAGACCAGGCACCTTCTGCCCAATGCCCTGGACATATCCCAGCGCTCCCAGGCATTACTCTGTATTCAGAACAACATGTTGCTATGCAAATGATTCCTTTCTGTTCTTCCTCTTACCTCCACAGAGTTATATGCACCCAACTTCTCAGCAGGCACTAGCCTAATGTTTATTGATCTTTTRCAGAGGTCTGATGCAAAGGAAGATTGATAAAATCTTGTCCAGTGTTTTTGTGAACTCATAATTGCACCTACCTCCTCCTAGGGAATGAGGCAAATGGGAGTGAGGGAGCCCACAGAATAAACAGTGCCTTCTGCAGACCTGGAGATAGTGYAAGCTGGAGGCCATCATTGCAAAGACCTTACAAAGCATCTGGTTTCCAGCAGAATTCAGGTAGGTGTGTTACTCTTTCCTAAAATGAAGGGAAATCAAATCTTGGTCTAAGGAGTCCTATGGCATGGGAAGGGCAGAGAAGCCTTAATGCAAAGTCACAAGCTGTGCCCGTTCCCAGTTAAAGCCCCTGTTGCCCATGGCAATCATAGAGCCTGTCAGCGTCCTGCAGCTTTCATACAGAGATGTGACCAAAATAGCTCCACAACTTTACAATGTGGCTAAAAATAGCTTGCAGGTCAGCTTTTTTCTCAGAGGTGGTGGTGACATCGGGGGAGAGCACTCTTGCTCCTGTTCAGTGCAGGTAGAACTGGGTAAACAAAGCCGGACAGGAGCAGTTTAGCTGGACAGCCTCGAGGAAAGCAAGGAGATAAGGGATGGGAAGGGACTAAGGAGAGATGGACAAAAGCGTCAAAGGTGTGGGCTGACCTGCTGCCACAGGCCAAGTTAGTGTGCTTATAYCCAGACAACTTCTCCCTGAGGTTTAGTTTCCATGATGTTTGAGAGTTATCAGTCTGTTCCTGTCTCCTTGTGGCCCATGTCAGGATGTGTCACTGGATGGGCTGGCCAGCCAGTGCAGCGTTTCTTGCTCCTCATTTCCAGACAGTGAACACAGCCCATGACATCACCTCTGGCCAGCGGCGGATCAGAGGCTAGGCCATGGCAATGTCAAGTGTGTTTTGCTGTAGCCATTCAACCAGAGAGCTGGTCTTTTACAGTACAATTTGCATGTGGAGAAATCTGGATAGCCCTTAGTTCTAGGGGGATTTCAGTATTTGTTCTTGGGCCAAAAATAGGCTGTTTTTATGGGGTTGAACTGTCTGTTTTTGTAGAGCATTACGTTTTACCAAAGGASCAAAGCTGCACACCATGATCCTCAGAGTTTTAGTCTCTGTTGTGTATACTAAGTCTGGCTGTGGAGATGAGTCTCAGCCAAGTCTGGAAGTTAAGTGCCTGATTTGGAACGTTATGGGAATCTAATGTAGGTTATGTGAGGTTTGTCATGCCTGCAGCTCCTGTGCTGCTGAGGTAAGTRTACTGCAGCAGGCTGTGCTAGCGAGAATTTCCTTTGTGCTGCAGGTTTCATGCCTACTGCTTTTATAGTGCTGAAAGAAAGGAAGGAGACAACAAAAATGTGAAAAATCGAGGCCAGGTCATTACTGTCAGAYGAGGACAGAGTCCTGTAGCCAGTCAGATGTGACAGAATGCACTTGCTGATGCTGCTACCAGGAAGCTTGAGAGAAATGTGACTGATAGCAGTGCGCATGTGCCTTTGGAGGAAGGAGGCTATGTGTGAGCTCTTGCAATGCTTTTCTCTGCCCAGCAACATCACTGCTTCTTTTCCTGGTGTTCTGCTTAAGCAGCTGTTCTGCATTTGTGATCCAATCTATTCTTCATACAGGACCATCTTCATTGTCATAATCAGAAGGGCTGATAGTACCTCAGRTTTGCTTTGAGTAAGCACTATAAAAAGGGCAAAAGCTCTATAGTTATTATTCTCTTAAATTGTTGTGAGTCTTGTAAGACCAGCCCCTGTCCCCACCTATGYTGAATGGCTCCTGTTGCCTCACAAGAGGGAGACTTCAGCCAAATGCATCTCCATATTGACAAGTACAGAGAGAATTATGCGCATGATCAGCTTGCTAAGAATTTCATTTGATGTGCAGCTGGAAGTCAGCTGCCAATAGAAAAGAGAGMTCTGCATCCCTAGTTGTGTGCTTCTACGTGCATTTAGAAGCTACAGGCCACGTTAACTGCAGACTGCAGTTAGAACAGGTAAAATCAACTCAATACCACCACCATGATGGTTCAGCAACAGTAATTTCTGGGCACTGCAATTTCTTACTACAGCCTGCTCCTTCCCTTCAGTGAGAGCTGCTCCCTGGTCTGCCCTGCCCAGCTTGTAAATGTAGCTCATCAGTCTCTTGTTTTTTGCAAATGAGCTGCGTAGGTAATGGGAGGAGGAGGAGGAGGCAGCAGCACTGCAACCTGCCCATCCCCAGCCGGTCATAAAGGCTCTGTGCTCCTTAGGCTTTCTGAAGTTATTTGCCATGTGAATCGTGTGGGTATAAAACTTCGTTGTTTCCTTAAATGCTCTGTCTTTTGCAATAGGAGGTCATTTCCCAGTGGGGAAAACAGGCTGTTGATGTGGTAGGCACTCAGCTTGTCGTTTGGAARAGATCCAGAGCTGATTAGTTTGGGCGAAGCAGTGTGCTAACACAGGCAGAATGCACCCAGACTGGCTCTGGTCGAGATAGGGGCTATCTCCCCGCACTCCCCACCTCTGTTCGCAGCCCCCGGCTCAGTGTGAGCACCGGTCCCTTTCCCTGTCCCTGCCTGTGCTGGCACGCCCATAGGGAAACAGAATTTGCACCCGGTGCTGCTTGCCTGTGTCCTGATCAGTACCAACCCTCCCAAAGCAAACAGTGATTTGCCTGTCTGCACTGACTCAGCTGTGCTGAAGGCAGGAATCAGTAATAAATCCGGTTCAGTAAAGTCCATAGGTAAGGAACAGCCTTCTGTAGCAGATACTGAGGCATTTTAAAGGAACTCAACTCTGTCCCAGGAAGTGCACTGCAGTGAGCAATGCTACATTGGGCAAGAAAGCCTACCCAGGAGCCATTAATCTCTCAACATCTGTAGCCCTGCGGTTGTAAGCGCTGGGGGTTGTCTTCCCCTGCCTGCAATTACTAGGTAACAACTGGGAATTCAAAGGAATCTTGGCTATCTTTAGGAAGCCAGTACCTGCTCTTTGCCTTYTCTCAGGAAACAAGGTCCTTCATTACAGCCTGTCATGGCAAGGGGCTTGCAGATAAGGAGGAAGGGCAGGAAACCTGCTGGGCTTTGCTTCTTTAGCAACTCTAAATATTTTCCATAGTCTGAGCACTGTGAGTCAGCATTTCTAGAGCCTTGACTTGTTTACAGCAGCAATCAGTGAGATGGTACAAGGTAGGAGGGGTGTGGAGGTATGTTTGTGTCTAAAATGAGAACCCCTTTGCCCAAGCACAAGTGGAGAAGTTACCAACAGTATTTTCCATTTGTGACTAACAGGAGGCAAAGGAATGGATACTCTGAACAGTAACTGCAATGGAGCCATTTCCAGGTTAAGGAGTTTGCTACTGTGARTAAGGGAATTGGAACTTCACAAAACTGTATTTATACCACATTGCCATAGTTCACTTGATTAAAAAAAAAAAGGAAAAAAAGACTGCAAATAGTTAGGATTATCAGTATAGTGGGATAAAAGTAATATCTTATGAATTAATTTTGTATTAGCTTGGCTGGACAGGCTGTGAGGCAAGAATACCCCCAAAAGTGTGCAAGTAACTAATCAAACACTGAAGTTTCCATTCAGARCCCATTCCTGTACTGGAGTAAGGAACACCAGTAATGGGATATCTTCTGTTACCACATGCAAGCTTTTTCCCTATGCCTGACTGGTCAGCCTGGCTGGATCTTGTGGTAAAGGGAGGTGACATCAAAACCAAGATATATAAGATCTGCAACCTCAGTTCTGCAAAGGTATTTATTTTGAAAATTCTAGTTTCCATAGCGATGTAGTGCTGTTCTCTCTCATCTTTCTCCCATTACCCCAATCTTAGCAGCCATTAGATAAATTATCAGTGAGGCAAACCTTAGCATTTTTTAATCTTAAGTGATTTTATATATGTTGGTTCCTCAGTGATTCAGAGGCGCTCAGTCAAGGATTGACTCATATCCTTTCCTGGGGCTGACATGAGGTCTATTGCAGTGAGAAGATGATAATGAAGAATGAATATTATTAATTCTACTTGGTGAATGAATTCCTAGGCTACTTTCCAGTAGAGTGGGGTTCTTCTATCTAGAATTCTGGATGAGTTGTCTATTTTAGGCCATTAGATTTTACTTGTGTTCCACTATAGCTTCATTAAGACATCATATTTTTATTTCATACATGTAGTAAATAAATCCTTTTGTAAGGGTTGCTGTGTACTGCTGTTCACGCGGTGTTCTTTGCCCCAGAGGTGACTTTTGGACACAGTTCCCCTTCCTGCYGTTAACAGAGCCAGTGCTCATGGCTCATTCCTTCATTCTTCTTTTCAAATCTACAAAAAATGAGCAGTTAARAAAACAATGCAAGATCTTTTTTATTGGTGTGTTTTGTTTGTTTGGTTGTTGTTGTTTTGTTTTGTTTCCTGGTGCATCTGCCCTTTGCTGGTCAAGGAGCGACTAGCTTTGCCAGAATAGTTACACAGGTCGGAATGTAAAAATCCCAGACTTAACCCTGCAGCAATGATGGCATGCAAAAAAGCAAAGATGTGGAGATGATTTATTCTGATGGTGTAGTTTGCCTTTTAAGGAGATGATTTAGTGAGTTCTTTTGCCTATATGAACTGTATCTCCACCTGGGGAGCTCTGCCAGAATAGCTGTTCCACAAACCCTTTGCTGCAAACAACAGCCTTTGTCCTGGAATTCAGTCCTTGTGAGTAGGTAAGCAGTGAAGTACAGAAACTGTGTGGGAGAATGAGAGTGGCACTGTGGACCAGATTCCAAGATAAGGAAGTAGGGCTAAAGACAGGCGGGGGTTAGCCTTTGACTCCTGCAGCGTCCTCACTTAGTAACAAAAATACCTGAACTGGATAAAATGGAGCACAGATCCAGTAAATTGAGCATGCAGGAACTCCTCTATGGAATTTGGATGTTAACAGGCATCTGCTGCACAATGCCCATTGCTTGCACTGCCAGTCAGTCTGTTTTACTCCCTAACCAGAGCCATCAGCTGTCTCATTTGTGTTCGGCCCATGAGTTCTTCAGAGGAGATGGGTTTTTAGAAGTTCTTCACCCTGCTTCTAATTGAGCTCCCSTGGATACCTGGCAGAAATAGCCTTTTAAATCCCAAGAGGTAGAAGCTCACTTGTGTTCCAAAGAATAGTAATCCTTACAAAATCTCTATTTTAAATGTCAAATATTTACTTTTAGCTGAATTATGCCCATTCATTGAGAAAACTAATAATACTTTGCT